CCCCATAGCTGTTCCAACACCTCTCGGCAAACACAAACGGCTGTGTGTTTGCGTGTGCATTCGTTAATTAATCTGAAATCTTTTCTTTGTGTGCTTTTTGCTCGTGTGTACCCGTCACAAAAAACCTGCTTTGCTGGCCTTGTTCTGCCACATGTAGTTAGGAGCAACGGCAGCATCACTGTCTCTCAACGAGACGTGATGGAAAGTTCAAACTGAACTGTTATGATGGAGGACAACAGCCGCAGCCTTTCCCAGCTCAAGCACAGTTCTTCACGGATGAACTCACTCCAATTAATACACATGGGGGGAAACCTGCAAGTTAGAACTCTCTCTTGCAGGCCTCTCTCACCAATTATAAACATAACTAAGTAGCGAGAGTGCCAGTCACAAAACTGCAGGCTGATGGGTTAAGAAATTCATTCTCTCGTAAAGCTGTACCCAACCTTTGTCCTGAAGGACGCCCTTTTAAGAACTTTTAATACAATAGTCTGTATTATGTTTTTTTTCATTTTTACAATCATACATTCTTGCTAGGCTTTTTTTTGTTGTTGAGAAATTCAGTGTTTCCGTCTCATTGTTATATCAACTCTTTGGTTGTTTTAACTGTACTTTTATATTGCAGGACGAGGCTGTTTACTGGATGTTTTTTCTTTGTGTTTTTTCTTTTGTGGTGGCATGCATGGCAAAACGTTACCAGTAGAAACACTGCAATCAGATATGTTGTGTATAACACAGAAACTTCCTGAATAGATTCAAGGTCTAAAGTTTAAGCTGTGACGTTGGCAACCACCTGACTGTTTCAAGCTCAACGTACTGTGTCAGTGATTTTACAGTAAATTGATCTGCAGGTTATTTCTGCTAAACAGGTTTCATTATAGCAACCATGACCTGTATCTGATCCGTTATCTTCATAAAGGTTGGGTATACAATCTCTGTTTGTACCAAAATGCCCAGTGAAAGGATTAACAAGACAATAGATTCAAACAAATTAAACACTGGCAGGGCGCCTGGATAGCTCACCTGGTAGAGCTGGCACCACTGAGCTGCAGCAGCTCAGGGTTCAAATCCAACCTGTGGCCCTTTGCTGCATGCCATTCCCTTTCTCAACCCTCTTTCCTGTCTATCTTCAGCTGTCCCATTCAATAAAGGGGAAAGCCCCAAAAACAATAAAAAACCAAACACTGGCCCCTCTAGATAGGGACTTATATGTTTTTGAGTTTCGTGGCCACCATAGTTTCTCCTACACACTGAGTCAAGGGGTTTCAGTTTTATTGCTTGCGTCCTTTAATACATCCATGAGCTAGAGCCAAACAGACACGGTTAGCGCTTTTCTTGAGTTTCACAGCCACCGTAGTTTCTCCTACACACATAACAGCCTGTTCTCACTCCCAGGTTGTCAAATACAGACGTGAGTGGTGTTCAGTTAATTACAGTCTGCAACTTCACCGCTAGATACCACTATATCCTACATACTAAACCTTTAAAACATAGGGAAAGACCAGAAAGCAGAGCAGAGAGCACTTCATCCATCTGTCCATCCTATATACTCGTTTATCGGAGGGCTATTTCAGCAGAAAACCATGGAAACACCATAAACAAGAACATCAAAGACAGCAAAGACAGAAACTGCTCCAAGTGCACTATAAATGTCTAAAATCCCAGTACAAGCAACAAGTTGAATACACAGTAAAGTTAGAGTAAAGTGTGCTACATCAGACTAATGTTCAGCTACTTCTAAAAGAAAGACAGGAAACAAGAATTCTGGTGTCAATTAATTCAAAGTTACAGCTCATTTAGTTTTGTCCACTCCTAGTTTACATTCCCTTCCATCACTCTGCAATTTGTACCATGTAATTATGTTTTCCTTTTTTATTAAAATACAACAGTGTCAAATCTAGTGTGAAATTATCTCCTGTCTGGGATAACAAAAAACAGGCTGAATGAGTTTGTGAAGTGACATGTTGCTGACAGAGACTTGTTTCTTCCTGTGGGTGTTGAGAGGATTGACAGGAACCAAAGTGCCTTTAAATGTATGAAAACTCTCAACTTTGGCACAATAAAATAAAAGATACAACACAAAGTCTGAAAAATAAAACAAAATAAGACTGTATGTTATGTAACAGTCTGAAAAATAAAAATAAATTCTTCTAAATGGGGCTTCACAATCAGGATGAATGAAGAGGAAAACAATCTATTTTTTCTTAATTAATACCTCAATTACCACCACATCACATACTGTTCTATCATTTATTGTCCTAATATATGAGTCTAAGCAAGATAAAGTCTTGTTTTACACATTAAAGAGTTGGGTCATGTAACATAACCTGAGTACCAAAGCTGAAGCAGATCGATTATTAGATCTATTAGATTAGATCTACCAGCAGAAGTATTTTCATTATCTAGTGCTTGTTTAATTCACTTTTCAAGTAAAAATGCCAAATATACTACGGCCCTGTTTCTTTCTTTTATCTGATAACAAACTTTAAAGACACATTTTACAAGCAGCTTTGTGTGCTTTATTTAGACTTTATTTGTCATTTGGATTTGCATCAAAATGAAATTACATTGCAATGGCACATAGCACAACGGGAATATAGGGGAGGCAGTATGCACAGTCTAAAAATAGATATGCAAATATAAAACTTATATATAAAAAAACTCGTAGATAATATATATTGCACAGTGTAGTTGCCTATGTAAAAGAACTTTTGTATATAATACGAATAAGAAAAATACGATAAATATATCTTTTGTATAAAAGACAGATAAAATAACGCAATATAAAGATAATAATAAAGATAAATATAAGATAGCTAAGAGAAAGTCCTGATTTATTATTTATATATTATTTATTTATTATATATTATTATTTATAGACACCCAAATGAGATGAAAATTGTTACATTTTCTATGCAAACCCCTATAACTGTGTTTACACTGTTCACATGCAAGTGTGTGTGTGTGTGTGTGGGTGTGTGTGTGTGTGTGTGTGTGTGAGCAAGTACTCTACGTGCCTGTGAAAGACTGACACACACTCACTAAAGACTAAACAAATACTTTCCCTCCAATCATTCATTGTCTCCAATATCAGCTTTAGTTTAGTTTAGTTTAATATCTTTGTTAACAACTATTTCGATCCATACGATATCTGTGTTTACACTATCTGATAAACTTGATGACGTGATGAACTTTCATAATCAATCAGAAGTACCAAAAATCAGCAGATTTGCTGTTATTGTCTGTTTAATATCATTGTAAACTGAGCATTTTAGGGGGTTTAGACATTTTAAGACATCACCATGGACTCTGTAATGGACATATTTCACTTTTTTTATAATCCAGTAATTGTTTAATTAATTTTTCAAGCAGAAATGCCAAATATTTCCTGGTTACAGCTTCTGAGTTGTAAGATTTATCAACTTTTCTTTGTCTTAAGTGATAGTAAACTGAATATCTAACAAACAAAGTGCCCATCAAAGTTGCATAAAGTCCCAATTTAAGAACCTGCGATGGGCCTTTTACCTTCTACAGACCAAACAATTAACTGTATTTAGTTGCAGCCATGACAATATTCACTACATGGTAGTTTTTGATATTTGATATGAGTTTGATACCCAACCCAAACTGTGATATACATACATCAATATCAGAAAATGTCCGTATCATGATAAAGATTTAAACTGTTTTCTTATCTCTCACCCCAACTGGTCGAGACAGACGACCACCCACCTAGAGCCGGAGGATCTGTCCTAGGTTTCTGCCTTTTAACAGGCAGTTTTTCCTTGCCCTTGTCGCCAAGTGCTTGCTCATGGTGGCACTGTTGGGTCTCTGTAAATAATGTTTTAAAGAGTTCGGTCTAGACCTGCTCTATTTGAAAAGTGTCCTGAGATAACTTCTGTTATGAATTGGCACTATACAAATAAAATTGAATTGAATTATCTGATAAAAAACTTTAGAGACTGAAGCTATTTATAAAATATAAACTACAGTAGAGCGCACACAAATCTTCTACATTTAATATGCAAACCACTAACTCAGCTGTGTTTACAGTGTTAACATGTAAGGAGGAAGAGATTCAAACAGTGTGGAAGTCATATGATGATATGATGTGAGTGTGAAAAGTACAGTACAGTATGTGCCAGTGAATGCCTCACAATAAAGATTATAAAACAGTTCTTCTTTAACAAAATAAATAAATCAGCATTTAATTATGTCATAGAACACAAAGCAGCTGCACACAAGGACTTAAACTTTAAAGACACATCTTACAAGCAGCTTTGTGTGCTTTATATATAGACACCCAAATGAGATGTAGAGTTAAACAATTTGAGATTCTAAGTTGGTCTGACATTGTAAAGAGAGAAACATCACAACGGAGAGTGTTTCGCCCCACATGTGACCCATAAACATACACCCTCACTTCTCACAGTGTCATCGATGTCAACATCTGTAAAGAAATCCCTGACATTCACTGAGGAACTCTTGGTTAAACTTTCTCCTCATGTGTGTTCAGGGACATCTCTTTAAACTCCATGGTAACACCTATAAGCATGCCATGATGTTGTGTGAACACAGCTGGTTGGCCTGCTTCTTTTTTCCATCTCCAGCAATAAACACAAACTGAATGCAGGGAAAAAGAAACACACACACACACACACACACACACATAACCACGAGGGCCTGGCACCCCCCCCCTCATGTGCACGAGCAAAATACCCCCCAAAAACAGGCGAACAGAGCAGAAAGCAGAGGAGGGTTAATTACCTCCTCGGAGCATCACCACCACCACCACAGCTCACATTTCACCTCACATCTGTTATAACGCACAACCACGTCAGCTGGCCTCCTTGTGTATATATATATATATATATATATGTGTGTGTGTGTGTGTGTATGTGTGTATTTATGTGTGTTTTTCCTCCCTTTTCCCCCCTTTTTTTTGGGTGCAATGTATGAGAGAGAGAGAGATAGATAGAGAGAGAGATACCCCCCCCACTTACCTTCCACATCCAGGCCATTCTTATTTCTACGCAGACAATGGTGGACCGCTTGTTTTCTTCAGCCCCCCCCAAAAAAAAAAAACGCCGTTCACCGCGTCCGTTTCCCCAACACTGTTGTTCCTGAATGCATCACAGGAGGAGACACGGTGCGGTTATATGCGCGGTCGGCTCCATTAATACTGGAGTGTACCGTTATTCGTCTCCTCTCTCGGGTTTTTTTCTCCCCCCATGGAGCTGCTGGGACCTGGACCGACGCTGCGCTGCTACTGGTCGGCGCAGACGCAGAGCCCCGCCCCCCGCCGCGTCACGTGACCGCAGCTGATTTCCTGACTTCTGCTGAGAAGGAAGTTTTGCCTGAGTTCAGGATTTACAGCAACAGTAACAACAGTAACAGCAGGACACTGTGCCAGTTTCTGCAGAGGATGCTGTTTTTTTATTTTATTTTATTTATGGAAGCCCATTTCCGCCAATGTGACGGGGGAAAAAATGATTCTGTAAGTTATTATAATGAGAAACTTAAAATATCTTAAAATAAAAGACTCCAAATAACTGGAAAGTCTTTTAATATTTTGTCTTACAGTGTCAAAATAATGTGAAACTTTCTCAAAATAATGATTTAGTATGTTAAAATAATGACTTAGTGTATCAAAATGAATGAGAAACCTCAATATTTTGACTTAATATGTCGAAATAATGATAAACTTTGATATTTTGACTTAGTATCTCTTATACTTTATACAAATTAAGACTTAATATTTCAAAATAATGGGAAGTTTTTCAATATTTCAACTTAGCATCTCAAAAAAATGAGAAACTTTCTCCAAATAATAGTAAAATTTATCAAGATTTGGACCTAGTATCTCAAAATAATGTGAAACTTTCTCCAAATAATGACTCAGTATCACAATGTCATTATCTTGAGATATTAAGTCATTATATTGAGAAAGTCATTACAGTCAAGTCTCATTACAATGACTTACAGAATCCCTTTTTTTGTCACATTTCCATGTTTTATAAGAGACACAAAAGAATCAGAATAAGTCACAACAATATCCTAATCTCAGATAATTACTCAAAATATTTAAAATGTTAAATTAAGCTAAAGAAATACAATTTAAAATCATATATTTATAAGAAAAGACATCAGCCATACCAGTTTATTAACATAAAATACATTTTAAAAAAACAATCAACAAAACCACATAGATCAAAAGGTAAAATAATAAAGGCAAAGAAAAAGAAAGAAAATAAATAAATAAATAATTTAAGTGACAGATTACAAACGTACATTTTGACATTAATTTCTTAATTGTTAAATACTTAAGAGACTAAAAATAGAGTTCAATCTCAGTTAGAAATAACTTAAGAGAAAGGGTTGAGTTAAGAAATCTCCCTTTGACAATATTACATTTGAATAAAAAGGTTAAGAGTTTTAACATCATTGATAGATACTATCCACACTTATATCTCATCATATTTATACTTTAAAATAAAGATTTCAGTTTGACCTTGACCCCTGTCTGACATCATGTAAATAAATATCATCGCTCATACATCAATCTATGCTGCATATACTGTAAACTGTCCTATACACCTACCTCATGTCTATAAAGCAACCTGGTACTTGTGTATGTATTTATGTAAAGCAAAGTGACACTGGCTTTATGCCTGGAGCACAATGGGCCCAGGTGTGCCACATGCTGCTGATTAAGTCTCCTAATTAGGTCTGCAGCTCTGTTATTCGGTAACTTGTTTACCTTTTAAAAAGCTTGTTGTTCTTTTTTCCCTTCTGGCTTTATGTATGCTTATTTCTGTGTATGTGCATTGAAAACAACCTAAAAAATATAGTAAAATCCTTCGTATGTGTACCTGGGCAGGAGACTTTAAGGGGAAGAGCAGAAATATATGCTGATCTCATATATATCAATATGTATTATGTATTATATCAATATATTGATTCAAAGGCATTACGTTATTGTGGCATATTAGCAAAGCATTGAATAGAAATATCAAAAGGTGGCATTAGAAATCAACAAATTGTTTTATTTTCAGATCATTGAACTTAAACACATCACTTGGCCACAACAGATCATTAAATTAATAAGTGTTTTTTTTAACATATTCTTTTTAAATTTGACACCAAACTGGGGTGACCAATTGAGCGGAAGCCTGTCTTTCTGCAGATCACGTTCATACAGTTACACACATTCATACTGGAAGTACAACCACAGTCTGCTCTGCTGGCCACTGCAGCTCCACTGGAACAGCTGGGGTTAAAGGCCTCGCTCAAGAGCGCCTCAGTGGTGGTAATGAGGAAGGAGCAATCGCTTCTCCCCACCCAGATTTGTCCTGCCTGCCCGGGGATTGAACCAGCGTCCTTCCAGTCACAAGCTGGCTTCTCTATAGCTTTGAGGCCACCACCGCATCATGTGTTTTTTGTGGGAACAAATTAGCCGTCGACCAATTTTCCAAGATCTAATGCCGATATTTAGAGATTCACTAACAAAGACCACGCCAATAGCTGTATGGATTAAGACAAGTTTATTACACGTTTATGAATGAATGTGGAATGCTGTGGGAGGAAAAATGGTTAACGGGTAGAAGGGATGAAGGGATGAAGGGGTAAGGGTCGAGGGATGAGGGGAAGGGGTCGAGGGATGAGGGGGTATGGGAAGGACGGGTGAGGATTGATAGGAAGGGAGGAAAGACTGGTTAGGTAGATTGATGGGAGAAGTTCGGTGAACTGGTCGGATGGAACGGAGAGGGTGCTGAGACGCTGAGTGGGGGAGCCGTCTCTTTGACTCTTCAAGAGCCCCAGTGGTTCCTGTATTTTGATAAGAGAGGGAGATAAATTAAAAAACAAGAGGGTAAGGGGGGGAGGGATGTAGAATACGAGTCAAGGAGGGAATGAACGGAAAAGGTGTGCTTAAGTATGTTTTGAGCGGAAATGAGGAGAGTTCGGGGCGTGGTCTTTGTTCCCCGAACTTAGTTATGAAACTCCATGTAGTGCAATCGATGGCAGATATATAATACCAAAATCAAAACAATGAAAAGTCACATATAATTCCATTATTCCACACACGTTATAATCTTAAATATGTGGTTATCTTAGCCAGTAACATGTTGTTTTATATGGAATTTTTATTAATTAATGAAACTATGAAAATATGGTGTAGACTGGCCTTTAAGGGAGAGTGGCGACAAGCGACATCATTCAACTGCATTATTATTACATAACATGTATATAACACTAGCCAGTAACAGTTTTAGATTTGCCGTCATTAAGGATGAGAGTAAAGACAATGTTGAAATTTAGAGTAGCATGCATGAGAGTTATAGTACAGGACTGGAAACTAACCGAACTAACCACCTTCCCAAAACTCGCAAACATTCTTCATTTATCTTTCTTGTGAGTGCAGGCATCGTCGTGGTCCAATTAACTGACCGACTGATTTATCTCTATAGCACAACTCATGTTGGAACAAGATCAATGCTCCAAACAACAGTACTTTGTATCTTATAAGAACAAGCATGTTTTCTTGTAGGAACAAGATCTATGTTGTACAGCTAATATAATATGGAAAACACGTACAGAGCTTGTGGGAACAAGATATTACTCTACACTCGATATTAGTCCACCTGCAAATTACATAAGTGCAGATTTCAGGCTGTGTTCACATTGCAGTTGGTCCCTCCATCCACAGATCTGATATTTTTAGAGTAAAACTGATTTTCTGACGCAGTGGGTTTTAAAGTGGGGTCTAGGGACCAGCAGGGCTCCTTGAAATAATGGCGAGGGGTGTCAAGAAAATGAAGAGTAATTTAATTTTACTGGTGTTTCACTCCCCTGACTCTAATAATGCACTGCTGCCAAAAACTGTTTTCCTCCTCTCTGTGTGATGCAGATCTGATGTGAACTATTTCGTGGGTTGGGAAAAAAAAAACAATGCAGTCAGAGTAACAAATACAAATTTACCCCCAAAAAACATGACAAATATATCTATTTTATGATTCTGTTTTTACAATTAACCACTTTTGATCAGGTGTTAAGTTTATAGGAAGCTAAGTCTTAGAGTCCCACTTTCCTTACTCATGTTTACTCAACATACGGTTTTAATTTTATGTCCGATACACATGTTAAACAGTAAACTAACAATTAACAATCACTGTGGGGTTGTATACAAAGGTAGATGCATGCCTCTCATGTATTATATATATATATATATTCGGTGTCATAGAGGTAACCATCAGTTTCTTTAGAAGACCAGTTTGTAGAATTCAGTGCCATCTAGTGGTGAGATTACAGATTGCAACCAACTCCCTTTCCAAGTGTGTAGGAGACGCCACGATGGGCTAATGTAAAAATGTGAAAGGCCACATAGAGCAATTGTTTGGTTTGTCTATTCTGGGCTACTGTAGGAACATGACGGTTTAACATAGCAGACTTTGTGGAAGAGGACCCACAGCGTCTGTAAATAAAAACATCTAAAGTAACAAAAACACAAGGATTCCTATTTTCAGGTGATTACACACTAATGAAAACATACCTATTCCATGTCTGCCAATAGATCCTGCTTAACGTTACTCACTGGACTTTGAAAGACAATTAACCATTTAAAAACCGTCGTCATTCTGAAGGCTTTTTCCAGAATACCTAACCTGACTGCTCCAGATGGTTTGTTACACAGAACCACATGGGAAGTCGTTGCTGGAAACTGTTTGGAAAAGGGCAGGCACTTTTAAAAAATGCTTGGCAGGTGACTGGATGAACCAATCGGATCAACAAACCACATAAAGTAGTCAAACTCCTACAAAATCCAGACATATTTTAAATCGAGAAAAGTCTTCAGAGCTGTTCTTTGTTCTTCTTTCAATGAAAGACAGTTCTGATGTAGCTGATGCTTGCAGCATCTACACCAACCTCGTTAGCAGCCGCCATTACAGTCACGTCTCACACGTTTGTCTCTAATGTTAAACCCTGTTCTGATTGGTCTGAACCACTGTGGTTTGGACACAAGCACATAGCTTGAAACCTGGCAAGGTAACAGAATAACCCAGAGACTCTTCTAACCATCTGGATGTGCCTGCTGGAAATATAAGAAAAGATTTCAACCTGTTTCCCAAGGGGGTTTTGGCTTTATTTCCAAATTAAAACAAATATGGCTGCCCACCAACTACCTGGAAATTGTTGCAACTTGGGAAACATGGTCGACCATTGACATGTGGTTGGAAACATCTTTGAGGAGGTTTTTCAAACACTGTC